GTTGTGTTGAAAAAAAAAAAATGCCGTTAGCGGTCCCGCTTTTTTCGTATTTCTGCCTTTCGCGGTGAGTGAAATTTGAAAAATTTTTGGCTCCGACTTATAAATTTGAGCTTCAAGAAGTTTTTGCTTTCCCTTAGCTGTTCAGAGTGATCAGTTTTCCCGCGAAAATTTTTACGTGCCGATACATAGGATCCCATACACGCCTGGTAGCTGAATTTGAAATCTTTAAGTTGTCGATGGACATGGGTGATCTTTTTAGAATTTCAGCTTCCGTAAGCTCCTAACTCGGGAACCAGAAATGCTGGGAGGCTGAAATTTTAAGGGGACATTCCCTGTCCAAGTAGGTATTAACGAGCTCAAACCCAGCCTCCGGTTAAGCGTGATATCCATGTACGGGCCCGCCAAAATTTTTTGTTTCTTGTCTGGTTCCCGAGATCTGTGGTCGCTTCAGCAAGCCAACCGTATCTGTGTCCTCGTTGTAGCTCTGTGCATTGTCTTCCTGCTCGATTTTCTCCTTGATAAATGTAAATAGACTAGAAATCCAATGTTCATGTCCATATATTCATATCGGGTTTGCATATTTCCCTGGTATTTTTAATGCACCATTTTCAAAACGCTTCAGCATAATGTTGAGTTAAAATTTGCGACTCTCTATGTTTATGTTTTTTCGATTTTACTCTTTTTTTTCCCCACACAGCGCTCTCTTTATGATAATGTAGAAGAAGGTTGTGATAAGTGCTCTGTTATACTCCAGCAGTGCCTTTTATATATATTTTTTTGCTTTTTATCAGTTAATACTGCTTAAAGTATGGTTTTTTTTAGACGCATTTGTTCATGTTTCCATGTTATCATAAATTATATGATTTTTTGTGAAATAATACTTAATATTTGGTTAAAAATTTTTTGCGATTTTATGAATTTTTATGATTTTATGAGTCTGTGATTTACCTATCCACAGGTAATCCCTGCAGAGAGATGCTTTAAAAAGCGCCAAAATTTCTTATTTTGTTTCTTTTTTTTTACGTTTTTCCAACGTTTTTTTGCGCTATCGCTCTGTATTATTACCTTTATGACAGTCGAAGACAATGGTTTCTATAATTTCGAAATTTTCTGAATAAAAAATTTTCATATCTACAAATATTTACTGCCATACCTAACAATGCAAGTTTGCTTTTGATAGACTGAAATG